ATTTATACAGCTTTAGTTTTATACATAGTTCAACACCTTGATATTTTATATATCTAGGAAGTCAAGATCAATTTTCTTCTAATTGTTTGTGTATTATTTGTTCTGAAAATGAAACATTAAATTGTATTAGTAATTAGTAATCAATGTAATCAGAACAATAAATATAAGTTCTATTATATTATGAAAGGAGAGTGACAATATTAACAATTTGTTATATTTATTAAATGAATACAAAAAAAGATTGAAGATAACATAATACCTATGTATATCACGTTGCATAGCAACTTGCATGTTATGTTGCCAATGATAAATATTTGGATATGTAGTAGAGTTAATTGATGTTGATACTGCATTATAAACAGCATAATCTAACTGTGTTGGAACTGATCTATAAAGTATAAAATGATAAATAAAGGATCATATATGTATAGCAATTGTAATGTATTTATATAAAAATAGTTATTTTATTAAGAAAATACCATTTGCATTTCATCGTCAGAACTATCAATTGTTGAATGTGGTGATGATGGTGGTGTAAAAAATTCTACTTCATCTATGAGAAGAAAACATTATCTTATTTACAGATATGACCTGCTGCAAGTTTCAATATAAAGTTTTATTATAAAGTATTCAATACTTACCTTCATTATTTTCATCCTGATTATTTGATATGAACAAAGAACATGGCTGTAACATATTGCATAAATAGTCTATTTCATCAAGTGCTGGTAATTCCGTTTTTGAATTTTCAGTAAAATTAGTCATGTTTTCATTTGAAATCTGTGAATTATATAAGTATAATGCGAGTGAATAAATGAATATAATGCGACTGAATCATTATTTTTTATACCTGACGATAATAATGAAACAATTGATCCTGGAATTTATGTTCTAAATATTTTTCCAGTTTCATTAAACCTTCTGTAGTACGAAAATCTGCAAAATCATTTAAAAATGGCCAGTATTCCTTCCATGACACCTGATACTCTTCTGCCAAATTTCTAAAAATTACATACTAAAATTGAATATTTATTTAATTCAAAAACTTTTTAAATTCTATAATAATTATAACATATCCTATATTAAAATTAACAGTTATATGTACCTGCCAACTCGTTCAAGTCCCTTTTCTGCATCTTGTAGTCTTAAAACTAAATTATTAGAAGCATCTACCATGTTACACTCATCATCTGTTGCTCTTTTAATTGGAGTCATACGAAGACGTGGAGGTGTTTTCCACTTCTTTCTAAATTCTAATGCACGAGATTTTGTCATTGGTCCAGCAAATGCACGTACTTCTAAACGTGGACTAATTGGATCTGTCACCAAACTCTAAAAAAAAAAACAATATATACAAAATCATACAATTTAACTTGAAATATGTTAACATACCAAAGGACTAGTAGGAGAGAAAGGTTCCCCAATCATAGGTTGCAATGAATTATCATCTGATCTTAATACAGGTACATAATACTGATCTTCTAGTAGCAAACGTATCTCTTTTTTTAACTTTTCATCTTCTTGACATGTTCTACTACAGATTATCTATTAAGAAAAACATACATAAAATAATGTTCTGTACATAATAATTTGATGTTAATTATACGAACATTATAAAATAATTAAAAAAAATATAAACACAAAATTATAATTATTTATATGTACTTAGCAAAGTATTAAATAGTATTTTTTGTAAAAAAAACTTGTATTACGTACATCTATTGGTAATTGTTTATATTTATTTGGTATTGTTTTTATACAACACGGATATGAAATAAGAACTCGAACTACATCTTTTAAACCAAATTTAACTGCAAAGTGTAATGGAGTTTCATTCAATCCTTTGTCAGGTGTATTTAAATACAAGTCTAACATAATTTGTGCACGATCTACATAACTTCTGTATTCATCACCATAAAGTAACTTTATGAAGTCTGCATTTCCAACAGTGTTTAATAATAATTCACACATATCTGGTCTGTCTGCTCTGACTGCAATGTGTAATGCATTATAACGGCATCCTTCCTATGATATATAAATGGAGAAAGGATTTAATATAAAATATGCTTTAAATAATTTGTGTTTAAATGAATATAAAACATAGCTTACTTGCAAAATTGCAGGTGTATCTCCACTACCAATTAAATATCGTGGATTTCCCCATACTGTAGTTTTTACAGCACATAAATCTCCATCTTTAATTAATTTTCTAAAGCATACAAGCTCTTGTGATCGTGGAGCTTTAAAATTATTTGATTTTTCTTCTACTACAGGTACTGTTGCAGGTATTGAAGTATTATTAACATAGTTTGTTTTTTCAAAGCCAGTTTTAGCATATTCTTCAGCTTCTGATTGTTTCTTAAATGATTTTAGACGACCAGTTTTAAATTCCTTAATTACTTTTAAAGCTTCTGTTTTGTCTTGATATACTCGAATGTTTTCTGTAACATTTAAGTATGAGACATATTGAAGCATTAAAAATAGAAAAGAATAATAAATGAAAACCCAATTATTTCTACTTTTTTTTACCTTTTATAGTGTTTTCTGATGAAGAATCAATATTTTCTTCAGGTATATATACAGCATGAAAAATGGTTTCATTTGATGTATTAGAATTTCCGTAAGGCATGTGTAATGCTTGTGATGTTTGTTCGTTTTCACCCATTATAACTTCTTTTTATTGTAAATTATATTTTAATTCGTATAATCATTTATTGGTTATGTGTCAAATACGATAGTGTTGAAAAATACACATTGAAATTACGCGAATTCAATGATATCCTTAAAATCTTATACGCAGTTTCTTTTGTTTTTTCTTTGTAATGAAGAATTACATGTATTTATATTTTCTTTTTTTTTAACAATATATGGTTTATTTAGAAATTTATGTTACAAAATTGTTAATAGAATTACTTGAAATATGCGTCGTTTTTAAGAAACAAATTTAAAAATTATTGAATAATAAGTATTAATTCTTAAATTATTTTAACAAACTATTTTGCACTGCATATAAAGCGACGATAAAATACCATAACTTTATGTTATGAAACATAAATTGTCTAGAAAATAGAAGCATATAGTAATATGAGTAATAATTTTTTTGTTTAAGATGAAACTTAATTTTCAAGGCATAAAACAATCAAGTAATAATTCAGAAAACGTATACGTCACAAATACTACATTCATAAAATCAATAATTTATAATACGAAGCATAACTTTTTTACGCGTAACACAAAATACTTAAAACTTGTACTAATTCATAACTAACAGCCATTTACAAAATTAACCAATCCTAAATAGATTGTAGATCATCAACCAATAATTTTAAATGCAAGATGAATACGTGTATTCATATCTATTCTTGCAATATCAAATTAAATTTTATTCCTGGTACTGCAACTTTTAGTTGCTTATTAATTATTAATAACGCAAGGAACTACCAATTCCTGCAGAACAATTGAATGCATA